TATTAGAGAGAAAATAAGGGCCCCTTTGGTTTGTGATTTAGCCCCTAATTGATGGTCATTATTTGATTAAAACAAAGTTTTGAATAATGAATTTTTGGAGAATGTGTGGTTAAAAAAAAGAAAAAGAAATTGAGTTTACATGCAGAAAATTTTGTGTGAACGTGTGGTTGAAAATGAATATGCAGAAAAAAGAATTTTTGGATCGTGGTTGTCAAACATGGGCTTGATTTTCAGTTTTTTGTTTGGAAGATTTGTTTTCATATTTTTAAAAAAACATTTGATTTATCACTTTAAAAAAACTATTTCTCAAAATAGAAAACTACAAAACACACTTGGTTTGAAGTTTTAAAAAATTATTTCATAACATTTTATTCCATGAAATTTGATTATTTAGTAAAAATAGATCAATTTTATATTAATACATAAACAAATAATAAATACGGTTTGAAGTTGGTAAATTTTATAATATTTTTTCTCGCTACAAAAGTAAATAAAAATAAATAATAAATTGAGTTCAAACTGTAGGAAATAAAAATAAAAATTAACAATGTGGGATGAGGATATTTTTATTTGTGTTTATTTAAATATATTTTTAGAATTTTTATTTAAATAATCATTAAGAGTTTGAACTATTTTTATTCTTTGTTTTTTTTTTATAATTTTTATTTTTCAATAAAATTTTAGATTTTATTTTTTAGATTTTTATTCTTTAGAATTTAAGATTTTATTTTTTCAAAATTTTTATTTTTTTATTTTATAATTTATATTTCTTGAATTTCTTTTTTTAAATTTTATGTTTTAGAATTTTATATTTATATATTTTAATTTTTAAAAAAATGAAATAATTTTTTTAAACTCCTATTTTTCATGTCTTTAGAATTTTCACTAAAAATCAATGTTCTAAAATGCGTAATGCGTTGCGATGCGTCGAGGTCGAGAATCAAGAATCACAAGTTTAAGCGTGTACATGCAGAGAATATGCGTCATAATGCGTTTCTTACTTTTAATATTATTTTAATATAATAAAAAATTTTTTATATCATATAAAAAAAAGAAATTCACAATGAGACGTCTCAATGGGCGCCTAGGCGCGCATAGGCTCTCCTGATGCGTGCATTGAAACGCATAGGCGTGCCTAGGCGATCAACAAAAATCGTTGGCTGCATTTTTACGCGCATTGCCCAATTTGACGCGTTTTTTACGCGCGTCGCGCCTAGGCACGTCTAGGCGGCGCATTTGCGCGAATTTTGGAACATTGCTAAAAACACTTAAAACGTCAAAAATGGATTTTAAGTTTATTCTTATTTTCGAAAATGTATTTTCAAAAATATTTGGCCACACACACTTTTAGTATGTTATAAAATTAAAAATAGCAAATCAAACGTATTCTAAACTTTCTAATTTCTCTCCTTATATGGATAAGGACTCGCTTATCCATATCCTTCGACTTTGAATGGCGACACACACACACATATATGAAGATCCTGTTGGCACTTCGACAAGGTGAGACCGTATACATGAGCTTGGATACTTAGGGTCCGTTTGATAACCCTTATTTTCAATGGAAGTAGGAATTTTTTTTCCATATTTCAATTTTTGGCTTGTTTGATAGTTCAAATTTTTCATGGAAAATTTTTTCCCTCTTACACCCACACGTGCACATTTTCAACATGCATGCTCGTGTATTTGTGTTTTAATGATTCTATGATTATTCTTTCTTATCTTTGATTTCACTCACTTTTATCCCTGTTTCAATTGTGTGTGTGTTCTACAAAGGGTCCGTTTGATAACCCTCATTTTTCATGAAAATAGGAGTTTTTTTTCCATTTTCTAATTTTTGGCTTGTTTGATAGTACAAATTTTCCATGTAAAATTTTTCCCCCTTACACCCACACGTGCACATTTTCCATGAAATTGAGGAAATTGTTTTCCCACCTTTTAGGTGGGTTTTCATTTTTCATTTTTTTTTTTTAATTTTTGCAATTGGGAAAAATTCTAGATAGAATGATAAAAAAATTTATCACTTTTATTGACAATTTTCATGCAAAACAAACTCAAACGAATGGTATTCGGTATTGTAAATTTTTTTTTCAATTTTTTTTTACCAATTGGAACACATTCTAGACACAATGGTAGAAAAAATTATCACTTTAATAGACAATTTCCATAAAAAACGAAACCAAACAGACACCAAACTTTTAGCATTTTCCATGAAAAATTATACCAATCAAACACAATTAATTACAATTCCTTGTAAAACATTTTTTTCCACATTTGCAATCAAACGGACCCTAAAAGTATTTTCCCTATATTCATTCTCCACATATCTTAGTTGTTTATTTATTTTTATTCGTACACTCTCCCACCCTCCCTCCTTATATCTAGTGATTATCATATTGGAGTGGAATTGAAGTAAATACCTTGATACCACAGTTATGAAATCAATCGGACAAAGAAGTGGTTATCGGGTCAATGATTCAATTGGCGGATCGACCGTTGAACCTGATCAATTTCGATTTTATATTTTCTTAATTATTTTTAAATATTTATGAACACAATAAAAACAATTACGTGTAAAATAGTAAATATCAAAAACTTTTCATAGCAAAAAAGTAATTAAACAGCAAGTTTAAATACAACACAATTTTATTACTCAAAACAATATACTTATAATAAAAGTAGGCATAGGAGAGCCAAATAAAAGAGGTTGAGAGATGGGGATCACAATGAAAAAAAAAATTGAAAATATAGAAGACCGAGTTAGAAATGAGACGATTTATTTGGTAAAAAATTATTTTGCAAATATATACGTAATCGTTCACACAATTTAAAATTACAATTATTAATGAACTGATTTAACAGCTGATTTCGAGTGGTTGAATCGACCAATTTTCACTACGTTAATTTGATTTTTGGTGGGGATCAATGTCGTGTTTACGCACCTAGAATGCTCGAAAACTAGTAATATTTAAAAATGATTTATTATGTCAATTCATATTGATGAAAGCATATTGTATCTCTCTTTTACTTTCACAATCAAATACACGATTACTAAGAAAAATGTTTCCCCCTTTATCTTGAAGTAGTGGGGACCCACCTCGTCAAAGTAGACCACCTTTCATGTGTTTCTTGATTAAATAATCCTAGCTTACAATTGATTTTTGCCCCCAAAATAAATTTATGCTGATTCTTCAAAAAAAAAAAAAAAAATACATTTTTTAATAAAATAATATTATACGTAAATAAATTTTTTTTTTAAACGTCCCCACCTTTCATTATTATTGTGCTAATCGATACAAAATCCACAATAACAATGAAAGGTGAGGACGTTATGTACTAATTACCTTATTTATTTATTTATTACGGTAGTAGATATAAAAATCGTTCGAATCCCTACTAAACAATTGAAAGACAAAGGTGGTAAAAATTTATAATTGGTTGATTTTTTTTTTTTTTTGTAAAAAGTGTTACTTAAATTTTAACATTGTATCCTATAAATTTTGCATCGATAGATAATATTCAAAAAATTAATTACGCACACAACAATGAACAACATATTTGTTCGTCAAATGGTAATTCGAATTTCATTGACTTGGTCGGATAAAAGAAAATCGATTATTAATGAACTGATTTAACAGCTGATTTCGAGTGGTTGAATCGACCAATTTTCACTACGTTAATTTGATTTTTGGTGGGGATCAATGTCGTGTTTACGCACCTAGAATGCTCGAAAACTAGTAATATTTAAAAATGATTTATTATGTCAATTCATATTGATGAAAGCATATTGTATCTCTCTTTTACTTTCACAATCAAGTACACGATTACTAAGAAAAATGTTTCCCCCTTTATACTGAAGTAGTGGGGACCCACCTCGTCAAAGTAGACCACCTTTCATGTGTTCTTGATTAAATTTTAACGTTGTATCCTATAAATTGTGCATCGATAGATAATATTAAAAAAATTAATTACACAACAATAAACATGTTCGTTCATCAAATGGTAATTTGAATTTCATTGACTTGCTCGGATAAAAGAACATCGATATAAACCATAATATAGAAAATATTCTAATAATATCTTGTCATATCTTAATACGTATTTAGGCGATTCGAAATTCAACTACATGTTTATTCATCGAACCGTAGCTTTAATTGTAGTAACTTACGAAAACGGCAAAAACCATAATCTAGGAAAGATTAAGGTAATCTGCGCTATATTTCAATATTATTAATGAGACAAAATTCTCGATTACGTATATCTCATTGCAATCTTTTTAAAAAGATTAATACATAATCTAAAGCATTTACTTTTTAATACATTTTGGATAATATATCATTCACTTTATTTCAAAAATAATAATAATAAATAAAGCAATTCTTAATGGATAAAGATAAATAAAATAGGTTATCCCAATATTATCTGGTCTAGACTCTAGGATGACAAAAATAAATCAATTACAAAATAATGGCCTTTTTTGTCATTTTTACTTGACACGTGTCAAGATCAGATGGATCTATGATTATGAAAATGAAAGCCACGTGGCAGTCCAATTATAGTCACTAAACCGCCATATCTGTATAAAAAACCCCCCCAATTCCCAGTTTATCCTACGCTAAAAAACTAGTCAATCAACAAATTATACACATTTCACACACCAATATGCTAACATCTAACAGCCGGCGGTAGAAATCTCGCCGGGAAATGAACATTCCGATGTCCCTTGCTTCACTTATGCAATGCTCGTATCTATGATCATAGAGTATCTTCATTTTCTTTTTCTTCGGCGTAAATATTAGTTTGAAATATTTGGCTTTTTAGTAGTGATATTTTGGGGAATTGAATCATTGGCATTGAAATCTATGCTTTTGAAGAAATTTTGTGATTTTCGTTTTTACGAGAGTTTTGATTTTAACTATTTTGCACGCAAAGCGAGTGTGCTCTGAAAATTCAACTGACAGTACAGAGTATATAATTAGGCAGTGTAGTTTTTTCAGAAAATGCCTTTTCCGATGAGAATTCAACCGATAGATTCACAGCTGTACAGTGATTCGTTGATCCGGAACGATGTGGTGAAGCCCCTGGTGTTGAAATCGAGGCTGAAGCGTCTCTTCGACCGGCAGTTCAACAGTGTTCTGAAGATTTCAGCGGCCGAGAAGCCGAGCAACGGCGGAGAGAAAGATAGAGGAATTCCCACCGCGGCGGCGGTGTCTGAGTTTGAGCCGAGCTCGATTTGTCTTGATAAGATGGTTCAGAACTTCATTGAAGATAACGAGAAGCAATCAGCAACCATCGCCGCAAAATACGGCCGTAACCGCTGCAATTGCTTCAACGGTAACAGCAATGACAGCTCCGATGACGAGTTTGATTTCTTTGACTCCAACACTCCTGGCTCTTCTTTCAGTGATCCCTCCGATACTCTCAAGGTGCCAAAAATTCTCCATCAATCTTCCATTTCTCACTTTTTGGTCAAAATTGTTGGTTAACCTATCTTTTCTATTGATGATTTTTTGCAGAGTTTGATTCTTTGTGCGAGTGTGGAGGAGCGAAATCTGCTAGCAGACACTTCGAAAATAGTAGAAAACAGCAAATTTTGCAAACGGAAGGACGATTTGAGAAAAATCGTCTCCGATGGTTTAAGAGCCCTAGGTTACAACGCCTCCATTTGTAAATCCAAATGGGAAAAATCTTCATCCATTCCTGCTGGTACGTGCTCTATCAATTCATATTCGGTGAATTTTGATTGATTCGGTCTAATAATTTAAATTAGCTCTAATTTTATCTCGTGTTTATAGGTGAATATGAATATATAGACGTGATTGTAGAATGCGAGAGGCTGTTAATCGACATAGATTTCCGATCGGAGTTCGAAATCGCACGATCAACAAGCAGTTACAGGGGAATTCTACAGTCTGTGCCTTACATTTTCGTGGGAAAATCCGATCGGCTTCTCCAAATTGTTTCCATTTTATCGGAGTCTGCTCGGCAGAGCCTCAAAAAGAAAGGGATGCATATCGCACCGTGGCGTAAGGCCGAATATATGACATCCAAATGGCTAGCCCCGTATACCCGTATTGCCACTCTCACGGTCGAGGAGCCAACCGAAGGCGGAGAATTGGATTTGATCTTTGGTGAAGGGACGGCTTCATCGGAGGCTAATTGCCCCTTCGAGGTTCAATTGAAGATCACGTGGCAGCTGCCGGCGGTGAAGGTGAAGAGGGCAAACAAAGGAACGATCACTGGATTGGCAGCCCTTCTCAAGGAAAAACTCTAAACATTGTATGTTTGATCGTGATTAAAAGTTACTTTTTCGTTCTATGTTGATAGTATTCACTAGCGCAAGAAAAGCTGTTAAAAAGTTACTTTTAAGTTGATAAGTCATGTAGTAAATATATAGATGTAATGAAAGATTTTGTTTTTGTATGTATTTTTTGAAGTTTTGTGTACAATTTTCCACATTCTTTATTTTTACAGATTGTGGCCAAAAAACCTAGTACTGCAATATTTTGGTGGTAAAATTTTATGAAATAGAATCTGTAAGGTGCATGCTTATCCATTTGTTTGCTGTTTATGGGTTTAATGTTTCTGGGGAAGTGTAAACTATTCAAGGAAAATGGTGGGATGAAGAGAGTTAGAGCAGAGGCTCGTACCATTTTGAAATCCGTGAAGGTCATTAGAGAAACGTGATATTCGCTTTCTGGGTTTTGTAAAATTTGAATTTATGATTTTTTGAAGTTATAAACTTTAGGCCATGTTTGGTAATTGAAGAGTAGGAAAAAGGAATTAAGATTTCTTAAGAGTTCAAAAGAGTAATTTAGGGATAAAACTACGGCTTGTGGTCGAAGTGACTTCGAAAATGAAGTAATGCGTTTGTTTACGTTGGGGTTATGATTTTTGGAGTGAATGGAGATGATAGTTGTAATTTGAAGATTGATGAAAAGGAAATGCTAACATTCTTTGGAGGCTAAGAGTAATCAAAACCTTTCGGAATCACCGAGTTAATAAGTGAATCATGTCTTCTAATACATCTAACATATCTTGATTAATAGAAATTTCGACACACTTCGGTAAGTCGTGGAAAGCCCTTAAAACCTTTTTTTTTAATGTTTTTTGTATTTTACTTTGGTTACTTTCGATCATCGATGGTATTCACGTTTCGTAGGTCTTAATAAAGCTCGTACTTAACTGCAACTATTACACTATGATATTTATCGTTAAGACATCATTTGTATCTCATCTATTCTAGATAGATTTATAATGATTATAAAATTTCACACGTAACACATTAATGAATCTTTTGATTTTCATAGGTTGTGGGAACCTCGTGAAAGCCCTTTTCTTCGCATTTTACTTAGGTTCTGGTTGATTACCTTTTGTGTGCTTTGCAGAGTTGTACATTGACCACACAAGTGGGAAAGGGTAGCAAAAAATATTGACTTTCCTGGGCTTGTACCTGTTGGCTGTTTTTTTTTGGCTTATTCGTTCCATTAATAAAATTGGATAATCACCTAACAAATAAGTAATTATTTTCAGCTTTTTCGTCAAGAGGGAGATTTAAAATGGGTTATCTCAGTCAAGTTCAAAAGTATTTGAATTCATTATATATATCATTATACCAATTGTTTTTTTATTTGTATCAAAGTTGAACTTGATCGAATTATTAAATTAACACTATTAGTAGCTGTGTTTTAGTTGAACAAGTCGAGTTGCACTAATCTTTTTTCTTTTTAAAAAATGTACTCACTTTCGGCTTACTATGTAATTAATATTGTAACGAAATTTTACATAAATTGAGCTCGAGTTAGTCTTGGAATAATTTATCAATCTCTTATAAAGTCATTAGGGATGGATAAAACTCCTGAACCGAACCCGAATAGAATCGAACTAAACCGAGCGATTTTTTATAAGTTAAATACCCGAACGGGTATCTGAATTAAGAATCGAGGGGCTCGGTTCGGTTCTCGGTTCTAGACCCAAAACTGAATAACCGAATTTAAATAATTTTTTAAATTTTTTATATTGAATTAATTAATTATTTTTAATTTTTCTAAACAAATTAGCAAATTAACTAATTTAGTAATTAATGTCTTAACTCCCAAGTCAAGTTCATGCCTACTAGCTCAACCCAACCCAACCCAACCCAATTTTTCGTCCTATTATTTATTTCATTTTTAGCCCAAGATCTAGACCCTTTTAACTTTTTATCCTCATCTTTCCAATTTTACACTTTCATTCGATAACCACTGAGTTAACGACCCTAAATCATTTGATAAATTGAAAGCTTACATCTACATGCCCAAATCGAAATCGCTGACTATCGTCCCCTCTCAATGCCCATCGAAGTCGTGACCTCTAACCACGACAACGGATCATTGACCATTAGAAATTTGTTAAAAAATTTAATTATGGTACGAAACTGAACAGAACCGAACCGAACAGAATCGAACGGAACCGAACCGAACCTGAACGGTTCCATAATTATATTTGGACCCGACGGGTCCATTTATTAAATACCCGAAAGTTTTGGGTCGGTTCGGGTCTCTTCAGAACCGAACCAAACCGAACCGACCCAGGAACCGCCCTAAATTTAAGTAATAGGGAAATTGTTTATCAATAAATTTTTTATATTGGAAATTATTATTATTATTATTATTATTATTATTATTATTATTNGTAGTACATATTACTTTATAAGGTTGAATCGTATTGAACAAGAAAAATTGATAAAATCTTGTGGTTAGCCTCTTTCTGGGATTCCATACCTTGGGACTTTATGTTCATAATGATGTCATGCTTCAGTACCGTTTAAAAGAATACAAAAACAATAAGAAGTTGAAGATTGGTGCAAGTTTCATTACTCGTCAGAGTATATTCCAGTTATAAATTTACTGTTATTATTATTATTAGTGGCCTAAAATCATTCTGAAGTTTGTTCTGCTGCCAGCAACCCTATTTTATTTATTTTTTGATTATGATTTATGATATTTAATTACTAATTATTCATAATTTATAAGATTTTAATATGTTCCACAATCATTGTTGTGGGGATTTAGCAATCCATTATGTTGCTTATATTTATTCTCTGATAGAGAAAGTGGGTAGGGCCAGATTATTAAAATTAGAAGTTGTGGGGTCACTCTCTTTATTTTTTGTAGTGGCATGTGGGGTCCCTTAGGAAAGCAACCCCAAACCTACTCCCTGTCTCTCTCTATATATTTGCAAAATTGGTCCCAACTCATTGCAAGTTGGTCTCAAACCTTTTACAATTATATTGTAATAGTCATGAAAATTATTCAATTCTTCGTTAAAATGTAAGACGGTCCTAGTAGAAATAAGACTCACTCTAAAAATACCGCTTCAAATTTTTAGTCTCGAACGTCGCCCCAGTTGAGAAACAATTCTAGCTTCGTAAAACTAGAAACGAGAGGTTCACTAGATGATTTAACATGGATTAAGACAGATTCGTCATTAGGGACTAGTTATGTACTATAATAAAAATTTTGATGACTAATTTGCTCTTTTACAAACGTCAAATATCAACTCGACAAAGAGTGCAATAAATACGTGTACGGTTTTTTTTTTTTTTTTTAGGGGGGGGGGGGGGGGGGGGGGGAGTTATTTGTATTGGTATTGTGATTTACTTGTGCAGTGCAAATTTGATTCCAAGAAAGGCTACCAAGGTCACAAGACATAGAAAATGTCAAATAGTGACACCCTAATTTCAAGAATAGTGGAGTTGCATTATGGGACTTTTTAAAATTTGTTTAACTAGCATATAGAAAGAGGAATGTAACTTATGCATGGAATCATGCAATCAAAATGAGTATTTTTTATCTATTATCAGTTTAAATGACATTAAACATTTTGATTCATTATCTAACAGAGTTGTGATATATTTTAATGCATCGAACAATGAATCAAATGTTCCAGTGTCACCTAAACTGGTGATGATCGTATGAAAAAAATTGAAAAAACCCATTTTACAAAACATTTATGTATTCAATTTTACCATTTTCTTGCTACACTTAATCCTCTCGTTTTTTTTCTTCTAATTTTTCGTTCTCAATAAAATATGTTCGAAGAGGATAATTATTGTCGTTGACGATCTTGTTACTTTCATCTTTAAGTAAAATGTAGTGATAAATTGAACAGAGTGCCGCAAAATAATGTGCAATCAAACTCAGTGTCCCATCTTTAATTTCAAAGTTCTGATATCTAACCACCGGTCATAACGGTTGGATAACGTGTGGGTCAATCTCGGTGATTTGAAATGTTCCAAGTTGAATTTATCTTATTCTTTTCCAAGTACATGACAATGAAAACCTACCAAGGAATTCATTTTTTCTATTTCAATTTTGTTGTCATTAAATTATAAAAATATTTAATATGATTTTCGTATCTTATATTTGTCTGATTTACTCGTAAAACTTTAATTTATACAAAAAAATATAAGGTAATACTGATTAGAAATCAACAATACGATAAACAGGATATAGCTTTTGAACGAGTCAAATAAAATGGATAAAAAATTATAAATAAATCAAAGTAAATTCTTATAATGAACAATTGTCGTTTTCAATATCAAAGAAAAACTAAAAAAATATATATAAAAAAAATATTTACATTTTCATCATTCAATAAAAAAATACAAATGAGTTAAATTATTTTGGGCCGAGGGACCACCTGTAATGAAATTGGGCCCATCAATATTGGGCCCCAAGCAGATAAGCATAAGAAATTATGGTCCCATGAATATTTGTCAAGGATTGAAGATTTGCTTCAATCAAATTATCCCAATCCTATCAAGTGATGGAAATAATTATTTTGTGGGAAAAATGGTCCCTAACGTTCGATTCTTGGCACTGACCCCTCAACTTTTTTATTTCTTTTTGTGCAAAAAGTCATTTTCGATGGTTTCCATCCATTTTAAAGTGCATCTATTTTAATAAGAATAAATCTGCAGGTATAAGAAATTTCCACAATTATCTTCCTCTTCCTGTACAAAATCTGTGGAAATTTCCCTGTACTTACAGCATTCCCCTTTTTCTCTATTGCTCTTGTTCCATTGGAATCATTTTTTATTTATCGGTTTTTACTTTTTATTATTGCTTTTCTATTTACCAACTTTTACTAATTATATCAAAATTTTTTTCTCAAACATAAAATTTCCCAAAATTAACATTGGGTAATCAAAACTGAATTTTGACAACATGGACAAATGAAATGAGAGCATCCAAAATCACAAAGTTTCAATCAACATTAAGTCATTGTTTG